CCATAGCCCAGTGGAAATAACTGAACCGGTGCGATCGAGTCTATGCAAACAGCCTGCGCGACACTTTTGACTTCAACAATGTTATCGCCAACATAAACGTCAAAAACAAGGTAATGTCATCCTTTGGTGTTTAATCACTGTTTATAAATGGTCCTGTTCAAGAAATGATTTCGATAATTCATGAACACGCACCCGAGTCCAACTGACGTCCAAAAGTATATCTTCCGGAATTATGTAGACTGCTAAGTTTATGCACATCGCATGTTCAATGTGTATTCCATTGTAAATATTATAAACAAATAGGCGGAGTGGCTATGGGAAACCCTTTAGGACCTGTATTGGCTAATATTTTCATGTATTGTCTTTAGGACAAGGCGCCTGCAATTCTTCAAAAAATACCCGTCTATAGGCGCTACGTTGACGATGTCTTCCTGATTTGTAAGATTGAGAGGTGGATGAATAAAATGCTTCAACACCTGAACACGTGACATCAAAATATCAAATTTTTAAACTTAAGGGAAACAAATGGGGTTTTGCCGTTCTTAGACGTGCTCATAGAACTACGGGTCACTGGCTAGAAGCACCTACAATCAAAAAACTTGGTCAGGGGAATACTTGCATTTCAAAATTCTACCCCAATAGCCTACCATCGTGGACTGGTACGTACATTGTTTAATCGAGCACGCCAAATCGCGACGAACGACAAAGTTGTCAAGGACACAGCAATCCTCTATAAAACACTATTGGACAACGACCATCCTGCAAAGTTTATTGACAAGTACTCTAGACAGCAGGGAGTAAAACATATTGCTGACTGTTCCCCGGAAGTGTCTTTTTCCTTACCGTACAGAGGTGATGATGTGTCGATTCTCATCAAACGTCGGCTGAATGCTGCAGTCAATCGAATGTACTATGCGGCCAAGTTGGTCTTCAGTGAGCAAACAAATCGAGTGCCGATGCCACCGAGAAAAGATGCCATGCCCACAACCGCCAACCCAAACGTAGTTTATGAATTCTCTTGTAACTGTGGATGCAGATACGTCGGTTGTATGTTGCGGTATTTGGGAACACGAATCTGAGTAAATTCCAAAATGGCTATTGGCAAACGCAACTGGAAGCNGAAGGAGAATGGCCGAAGAATTAATCCAACGGACGTATTCCGAGTTGTCTACCGTCCAAAACGACCCTACCAGCTAAATTTCGCCGAAGCCGTAACCATACGAAGAACGAACCCGATTATTTGCGCTTATCATCATCATCATCATCGTACAGCGAAATACAGAGAAGCGAACTACACTGATCGCTGCCAAACTCGCAATGCATATGCATTGCGGTTTGATGGACGGGTACTGCTAGGTGTCCAGCCACTAAGCAGGAAGCAGATGGTGGCCGCATTGGCTTTACCGTGGAGTTAATCCGCCCCCGCGCCACCCTATCCTTTACTCAACACCTCATCATTGTGACTTTCGTTCTCCTCTCCTTACCTCATGCACTCCAACCATCCACCCACCCCACACACACCAATTTCACCTCCCCTTTTCATACCTTCATTCAGATAATGAATTAAATCTTTTGTTGTTGATGATCTTCAGTATTGTTTATTCCGCCTACTAACTTCCTGTCTTCGTATGCCCAGCTGTTCTAACTTACCCTCTCCGCCTTATACCTACTGAAACACAAACACACACACACACATTAACACTTCAT